TATATATATATATATATTTCTTGAATGAATGAAATAGCAAATAGGTCGGGCCACAGATACACAGAATTGGCCAGGGTCTATAAGCACAGGTAAGTCTTTTTAGAGCCAGGATTGGATAAGCATTTGGTCCTGGAGGAAACTTATCACAAGCTGAATTCCAAAGGCCAGGTGAAGCTGGTTAGGGGTGCGGGTTTCTGGCAGTGTCAAAGGGAGAAGTCAGCAGAAGGGGGATGAATGGCAGAAGCAGGCTCGGCTGGCATAGAAGTAAGTACCAGAAGATAGATTCACAGTGCATTGGGCCAATAGTATCCCAAACCCTGAATGGGAGTTTCCTTTCTCTCCACTGATGGAAAGGGCACACCCAAGTTACCCTGGGAAGACAGCGAGGCCAAACAGGTGGGGCTGGTGAATCACTTGGGCTGCTTCACACAGTCAGCGGAAAGCAGGGCAATGCTAGAGGTGTGAGCCCAGGTGAGGTTAAATCCTCCATGATTAAAGTGGCTGTCACTCTGGGCAAAGGCTTCCCTATGGGCAGAGAAAAGGGTGGATCAGACAAGATTTGGAAGTGGATGCCCCTCTTTTCCTCCAATCTCGGGCTGCTGTTCCCGTGGGGAGCGGCCTCCTCTCCTTCAACCCCAACTCCAGGCCTAGGACGGGTCCTGCCTCTCAGGAGCTTTCCCAGACACCCAGAGCCTTGTCTGAGCTTCCGGTTCTTGTCAGTAGTATTCCACTATCTTGGAATCTTCCCTAGAGAGAGGCCACTTAACTTCCCTATCAGTACCTCCTCCCTCCATTGAAGCCAATACAGTCACCCTTTTTCTGTGGAAAATCTCCCATCAACGTGGTCTTCGTGGCCCCAGTTGTCAAGGGAAATGGTTGGTGAAGTCTCTCCTACCTATCAAGAGGCCCGCAGTCAAGGGGAGAGATTCCATGCTGGCTGGAGGCTGAGGCGAGGCCGAGGAGAGTTTTTTTAGGGCAAGAGATTTGAGGATCCTTTTAGGTTGAGCAAAGAAGAGCCAGTGAGCAGGGACAAGACTGAAGATGTGAGAAGGAAGGGGAGGTCCGGGGGAAACCGGGAGAGGATGGGGTCCAGGCCCAGGTGGAGGCGTTGGCCTTGGAGGGGGAAGAAGGGTCCACAGGGGAAGGTGAGAGAGGTGGAGGGAACACTTGCCTGGTGGGCTCCTTTTTCCAATGGAAGCAAGGACACCTACCGAACGTGCATGAGAGAGGAGGTGGGGTAGAAGCCAACTTTGAAACAACAGCCTTGGGAAAATAAAAACTGGCATTTGGATAGACCCAGAGTTGGGAATGAGCAGGGCAGAGATGTCCCCAGAAGTCTGAGAGGCCAGACCTTGACCAGCACAACCTCAGGGACCTGGAATTCCTGCCACTCTGTGTGGGCAGCAGAGGCTCCAGAATCTGATCGCCCAGCATGAACAGCCGGTCTGAGGGACATTCTGCGCTCTAATGGGGGCAAATGGAATAACGGTGGATGGCTTACCAGAGAGCTATACAAACCTGTGAAACTACGGAAACCTCTAGGTGGTCACAAAGCACCGAGCTGATCTCCCTGTGCTATGCGGCTGCTTCCCACTAGCTAAGGGATGGCGGTATGCGTAAGGGATACAGGAGCTAACTGAAAGAGCTCCCAATGGCCAAAGCTGGAACAATTTGAGCAACACAATCAATGAGTGAAGTAAGTCAGAAAGAGAAAGACAAATACCGTATGCTAACACATATATATGGAATTTAAGAAAAAAAAAAATGTCATGAAGAACCTAGGGGTAAGACGGGAATAAAGACACAGACCTACTAGAGAATGGACTTGAGGATATGGGGAGGGGGAAGGGTAAGCTGTGACAAAGCGAGAGAGGCATGGACATATATACACTACCAAACGTAAGGTAGATAGCTAGTGGGAAGCAGCCGCATAGCACAGGGAGATCAGCTCGCTGTTTTGTGACCACGTAGAGGGGTGGGATAGGGAGGGTGGGAGGGAGGGAGATGCAAGAGGGAAGAGATATGGGAACATATGTATATGTATAACTGATTCACTTTGTTATAAAGCAGAAACTAACACACCATTGTAAAGCAATTATACTCCAATAAAGATGCAAAATAAAAATCAATAACGTTGTACAGGATTATAGTGCAAAATATAAAATAAATACATATGAGTCCATACTAATGTAAATCATTAAATAAGTGAGATTCTTCCCTACAGAAGAATCTCAAATAATATGTGTAGATACTCGCCCCTCCAGGAGGTAACGTTTAACACTCCCCTCCTCCACCTCCTTGAGGGTAGGCTGGTCTTAATGTCCTAATGTTTTGCTTCTAAAGAATAGAGAATGGAGAGGGAAAAACGGTAACTTTACAGTGGAGAAACCTGGCAGGCACTACCTTAACTGTGATCGAGGTTAACATCACCAGTGAGAAACCATGTTGGTATCACATACCCTCTGATAGGATGTGATGAGAAGTAGACTTCACCTGTATGTTATTTTTTCCCTAAGCCCATAACCCAGTCTAATCATGATAAACACACCAGACAAATCCACATCAAGGAACATTCTACAAAATACCTGATCAGTACTCCTCCAAACTGTCAAGGTCATGATAAGCAAGGAAAGACTGAGTAACTGTCACAGACCAGAGGAGACTAAGGTGACATGATGATTTACTAAATACTGTATTAGATCCTGGAAGAGAGAGAAGAAAAATCTGTAAAATCCAAATAAAGTCTAGAGTTTAGTTAATAGTAATGTACCAGTGTTGGTTCCTTCCTTATGACACATGTTCCATGGTAATGTAAGATGTTAACAATGGTGGTCAGCGGCGGGGACTTCCCTGGTGGTCCAGTGGTTAAGACTCCGTGCTTCCACTGCAGGGAGTGCGGGTTTGATCCCTGATCGGGGAAGTCCTGTATGCTGCTTGGTGTGGCCAAAAAGAAAAGAAAAAAAAAGACTGAAAATTAATAAACTAAATTTGTTTGAGGATTCTGAAACTGTATGGAAACAGCTCATGCACTTCCTGCCCGGTAACATTTTGCCAACCTGTGTCCAAAGCTCTTCATAGCTTCAGGATTTCTCTGAAGGGC